TTTTGGGCCTGGTTGTTGAAGAAGCATTCAGTATGAGGCCCCGACTCCTCCTCACCAGAGGGGCTTTCAGGGTCGGGCTTCAGGGTCAAGTTTAGGGTTTTAGTTAAGGATTTTTGGAGTTTAGGATTTAGGATTTAGGTTTAGGGTTTAGGGTTTAGGGTTTTGGAGTGTGAGAAAAAGTGGCCTTAATTAATAATTAGAATAGGGCTCTGGGGCCCATTCGATTATAATGACAATGAGGACCCTGAAAATAGTATTTGTAATTATTTAGGCCCCTACATTAGGGTCTAGGGTGTTGGAGTTAAGGGGTTTTAGGCTTTAGGATTTGGAGTTTAGGCTTAAGGGCGTAATAAGTCTGCAGGCTTAATAGCCTCGTTTGAGAGCCCTTATCGTACCTTTGTAATTACCCGCGTAGTACCCTTGTAGTACCCGAATAGAAGAAACTGTGGGGTGCCCACATAGAAACCTGAACGGAACCTTATCGAAACCTTGCAGAATGCCAGTGGAGCCTTTAACCCTTATAAACGCCCTAAACTGACAAACATAAGCTCCAACCCTAAACCCAACCCTAAACCCCACAGGTCTTATCCCTCGAAGCCCCAAGCCCTCAACCCCGTAAGCCCTAAGCCATATAAACGTTAAGCCCTGAACTCTATAAGCCCAAAGCCCCTCCAGAGGATCTGGAGAAGAAAATTCTACTTGCTTGTAGGGCCCCTACTTCTACATGTTTGTAGGGCCCCTAATTCTACAATGGGGTTCAAAACAATAGCCCATATTGGTTAAGATAGTTGCTGGTAAGCCCCCTATACAACCCTCAACCCTTCAAGACATGCAGATCCCTTAAACCCTATAACTACACCCCAAAACCTTATCGGCCAAAGTAACATAATGGCCAAAAAGCCTCCAAAAGGCTATTCTTCTACATACTTTGGGGGTCCTAAACCCTAAACCCTAAACCCAGGTAAACCCCAAAACCCTAAACCCTAAACCTAAACCCATCCGGAGGACCTTGAGAAGAAAGAGAGCGCTGCCCTTCTCCACGCGCAACACGCGATGCGGAAGTTCGCCTCCAAGGCTTCCCCGTCACTTTCGGGTGCCCCAGAAAGAGCTTAGGGATTAGGGTTTAGGGTTTAAGGGATGAGGGATTCGGGTTTAGGGTTTAAGGATTAGGGTTTAGGGTTAGCGGTTTCGGGATTAGGGTTAAGGGTCAAGGGTTTAGGGATTCGGGTTAAGGGTTTAGGGTTTACGGAGGAGGGGTAGGGGTTTCGGGATGAGGGATTCGGGTTTAGGGAGTCGGGGTTCGGGTTATATAAGGGTTTCGGGATGAGGGATTCGGGTTCAGTGTTTAGGGAGTAGGGCTTAGGGTGCTAGGAGGGTTCTATACTGGTTTAGGGGTTAGGGTTCTAGAATAGAAGGGTTCGGTTTTATAAGGGTATAGGGCTTAGGGTGCTATGTAGATTCTACAAAGGTTTAGGGTTTAGGGTGCTAGAGTCTAGGTGTCGGGCTTATGGTTTAGGAAGTTTTTGCGAGGTTGTCATATAACTTGAGAATTATAAGGGGTTCTGTAGGGCTTTAACAGGGTTCGGGCGTGTGAGGGTAGGGCTACTGTAGACTCAAAAGCAGGGGATCCCTAAACCCTAAACCCCAGACGATCTAGAACCCAGCCGAAGTGGGCAATCGCTCTCGACCTCGACCCCGGCGTCTCGAGTTGGCCTGTTCGTAATGTAGGGGCCTAAATAATTACCTATACTATACTACTTTGGGGGGTTCCTTATTCTACTTATAGTACCCTAAAAGGCTAGAGAAACCCAGAACGCTATATTATTCCTTACTCTAATTATAGCATAGTGGGCCCCGAAACCCTATTCTAGTTATTAAGGACCCTAAACCCTAAACCCTATAAACCCCTAAACCCTAAACCCTATAAACCCCTAAACCCTAAACCCTAAACCCTAAACCCTAAAGGCCTCTTTTTTTGGGAATCCTGCCGTCCTGAACCCCAGCTGCCTGCAGACTCCACCCGAGACCCAGAAACCCGAGAGAGCTGAGGAGTCAAACTCAAAGGCGATGCCGCCAGAAAGCATGGAATCTAAACCCTAAACCCTAAACCCTAAACCCTAAACCCTAAACCCTAAACCCTAAACCCAACACCTCGCGACACCGAACTATCGAGAAACGATTCAGAATCGGGCTTCTGGCCTCACCTCTTCCCTCCTCTGGATGCCGAAACCGCATGGAGCCTTCCTTGCGCCGTCATAACCCTGCCCTCAACCCGAAACCCTAAATCCCGACATCCCTACACCGTAAACCCTAAATCCTAATCCCTAAACCCCTACACCCTAACCCTAAATCCTAAACCCTAATCCCTAACGCCTCGTTGTGAAGGTCTCCAGGGGTGTTCACCAAGTGCATCAGGGCGCCGACACCAAGTAGCAGCTTACCAGGGTCCTGGGTTTAGGGTTTAGGGTTTTAGGGTTTAGAGTTTTAGGGTTTAGGGTTTTGGGGTTTAGGGGTTTAGCGTTTTAGGGTTTAGGGTTTCAGGGTTTTTGGGTTTAGGGGCTACGGTTTGAGGGTTTTAGGGTTTAGGGGGGTTCCTTTGAGGGTTCAACACTACAAGAGTTTAGGTTTCCTTTGAGGCCCCCCCTAAAGATTCTTTAAGGGGGGTTTAGGCTTTAGGGCCAGTTTGGAGGTTCGCTTCAGGGCTTTTAATAAGGGTTCTAATGTAGGGGCCTTGCTAATGAGAATAGGGTTTTGGGGCCCATTACACTGTAGTTATAACAAGGAGCCCCCAAAATAGTATTGGTAATCGAAGGGTTTAGGGTGTTGCGAGGGTTTGGCGTTTGGGGGTTCCTTTGCATGCTCCTGTAGGGGTTCTACAAGGGTTTAGGAGTTTAGGACGACAGGACTGGGGCAGTTCTTCCAGAAAGTAAAGGGTTGAAATTGGTTCTAAATTCTATCGTACTACCGGATCCAATGCTTGCTTGATTCACTGATCGAACCCTGTGGGAGTCGAAATTGAAGTAGCTGCCCGCTTGAGGCC